GTGACTTACTTTTTTTTTATTTTTTTTTATTTATATATATATTTTTTTGCACTTATTGTTATTGCTATTATATAGGGGGATAACAACCACCCTATATAATAGCAAAGGCACACTGACAGGTCCTCTTTATGGAGACATTAGGGGTCTCTAGGACCCCTAATGTCACCTGTGTACCCCAAAAGAAGCTGATGAAGCAGAGATCTGCTTCATTAGCTTCTTTTCTCTGGCTATAGCAGCCAGATGACTGACAGGTGAATGCGGAAGTGATGTAATAAACATCACTTCTACATTCACAGCCCGGAGGGAGGTCAGCAAGGAGCTGATCTCCCTTCCTCTTTCTCCTGACGCCCTCCCGACCCGATCCCGGGCCGCAGATGGGGCAGCGGATCCCGGGATTAAAGGTGAGGGGTCAGGGGGGAGGGAAACGAGCACATATAGACGATCGGCAGGCTATAGAGCAGCTGATAGTCTATATGTGAAACACCCGGCAACGGGTGTTTGCATTGGTCGGGTCTTTTCTGCCCGTGCGCGCCCGCGAGGGAGCAGACAAAAAATGCCGTCTGGAGATGGCTACCCGCCAATGCTACAGTGCCGTCCGTCCGTTTTTTTTTACAATGGGCGGACAGCAACTGGTTAAAGGACAACTATGGGGTTAAGGCTTTTCCCCATAGTTCTCCTTAGGGTAACGGGAGAACACAAACTAGCGTCCTCCCGTCACCCTAAGCTCCGTATACCGCAAGCTACAGCTCGCGTTATACTGAGACGCCACAGTATACGGCGAGCTACTGCTCGCTATATACTGAGACACCGCAGCTGAAGCGGATCCCGACAATTATGTCTGGATCCGCCCAGCTGGGTGAGTGACAGCTGACTCTGCCTATCTAGAGGCAGAGCCAGCTGTCCCCTCCGCCGTCCGTTCCGCCAGTCAGCGCTGGCGGATCGGAGGGGGGAATCCAGCCCCTCCCCTGTCACGGCAGAGAGCTGTGACAGGATCGAGAGGTGAGCGAACGCCGGTATGTGTTCGCTCACTTCCCGATCTACTGAGTCGACCTGTAAAAGTCGAGCATTAAAATTGCTCGTGCCTGACCACACCCAAAATGTGCAATAGGCGACACTTTAAAAGCTTTTACCGCTCATCAGTTTAATGTTATCAGTAATTAAAGGAGAGTTTTTTTCTTTTTTTTTATGCTTTAATTTTTTTAAAACTTTTTTTTTTTTTTTTTTTACACTTTTAACTTTATTGCTATCACATAGGGGACTAAGAAATCCCCTATGTGATAGCCAATTCACATGACAGGTCCTCTTTATGGAGACAGCAGAGGACTAAGACCCCTACACCTAGGGACACCCAGAGAAGCTGATGAAGCAGAGATCTGCTTCACCAGCTTTTCACCGGTGTTCTGTACCGGAGTGACACTGGATGCAGGAAGTGATGTAACATACATCACTTCCTGCATTCGGGGACCGAGAATAGATCAAAAGGGAGTTTGTGTACTGATCTCCCTTTGATCTCCACTGAGAGCATTGACGTGCTGGTCCCAGCCGCACCGGGCACAGTGGATCTCCTGACCCGCGACAGAACTGGGGGCGGGGCACACCCGCAGCTCCTGCAAGCTATCGGGCATCTCTATCATTTGAATCGCCCGATCGCTTGAATGTTTACATTGCTGTTTACATTGCTAACAGTCCCCCACTTGTTTGCGCACCGCGCACGAGCGGGGGGAGGGGCAGGACGACTTAGGACGCCCTCCCGCACTTACAAGACTTCCGTCCGGCCATTCAGGAACGGCCATGGACGGGAGGTGATTAATTCTGCTTTTGAACAACCTCATCTGTGATACACCATGTGATGGGAACTATCGGGATGAGTTTCTCCAAGAGCACAATTGAAGATCATTGATAGGGGGCTGATGTGAACTGTAGTTCCTAAATATTTTCATCACCCCCCCAGACAATGATCTTCAATAGTGCTCTTGAACAATCTCATCCGGGATGCACCATGTGATTAAAGGAGAACTATGGGGTCAGTGTTTTTTCCCATAGTTCTCCTTAGGGTAACGGGAGGACACAAACTAGCATCCTCCCGTTACCCTAAGCTCATTATACCGCGAGCTGCAGCTCGCGGTATACTGAGACGCCGCAGCCGGAGCGGATCCCGACGTAGATGACGGGATCCGCCCAGCTGCGTGAGTGACAGCTGGCTCTGCCTATCTAGAGGCAGAGCCAGCTGTACCCGCCCCCTCCCCCGTCCGTTCCGCCAGTCAGCGCTGGCAGATCGGAGCGGGGAGAGGGGAATCCAGCCCTCCCCCTGTCACGGCAGAGAGCCGTGACAGGATCGAGAGGTGAGCGAATCTGGTATGTGTTCGCTCACCTCCCGATCTACTGAGCCGACCTGTGACACTCTCATTGTCACAGGTCGGCTAGAACTATGAGGTGAGTGGAAATCACTCATCTCATAGTTCTCCTTTAAAAAAAGTTTAGGAATTACAGTTCACATCAGCCCCCAATCAAGAAGGGTGCTGTCCCACAGAGGAAGCCGGCAGACTAAATTTGTTTGGGCAGTGCTTGCAGATATCGCCCTGTAGGAAGGAATCGGAGTATAGAGGATACCAGCCAGAACAGGTAGAGAGATAAGTTTATATGAATGTTCAACTGTCTTTACGCAAGTTCCATACTGTGTTTTTAAATAAAGATTTAGGGCCACACTATGGGGAGCGTGTGTGTGCGCGCATGTGTTTCAGCCCTGACAGGGTGAAATTATGGATTTGGACTGGGTGCAAAGGGACATGTAAAGGGAAGCAGAAAAAGTGGTGAAAGGTCCAACTAAATATGAAATAGAATACGGTTACTGTATACAACCTAGGAGCCACTATAGACCACAATATAACTGGTCAAAACTATCTGGTGAGTGCGGAAGAGTGACTTAATCAGGGATGTATCACCAAGGATTTTGCTCAAGAGCACAATTGAAGATCATTGTTTGGGGGCTGATGTGAACTGCAGTTCCTAAACTTTTTAATCACGTAGTGTATCACGGATGAGTTTGTTCAACAGCACAGTTAAAGATTATTGTCTTAGGGACTGATGTAAATTGTAGTTCCCTACTTTTATGTATATACTTTTTCACATGGTGGATTGCTTTTGTATATTTAACGTTCACCTGTTTTTGTGGCACATTTGATTGTGTTTAATAAGTTCACTGCGGATAATTTTGATTTTAGTTGAACATAGGGCGTATATCAGTTTCACAGCACAGTGTGAATCACTTTATGTACATATTGTCCGGGGACAGTACAGTGACCAGAAGATTTAATTTTTTACCTATGACTACAGTTTGAGGGTTGTTGTAAGCGATTGCTAAAGAAATTGGCTATATTTTGTCTCCAGCAATCGCTCAGAACATTCCTGTAGTCACAGGTTAAAAACCAAGAAAAACAAAATCTCCAGGTCACTTTGCACTGCCCAGGAGGTGTTACCACTATGAATATTAATGAAGGTATGTGCATGAGGGAAGCAAAGAATTGTGGTAAATGGACAAAGAAAGTAAGTTTTTGTGTTTATAGCCAGCATCTGCATATGCCTGCTTCATGTACACAAGGTGTACATTGCTGGCATATGTTTTTTTTTCTTTCTTTTTTTAAATGTCTCTGCTAAGGTGGAAATGGGCTTTAAATAACTTATAAAAGTGCATATCTGAAACTTATGTTTTTGTTTTTGTTTTCCTGCAGTGAAGAGGTTTGCAAAAGAGGTTTCACAGTAATTGTAGATATGCGTGGCTCTAAGTGGGATTCCATAAAACCATTACTGAAGATTTTACAAGAATCCTTTCCTTGTTGTATTCATGTTGCACTAATTATAAAACCAGACAATTTTTGGCAGAAGCAAAGAACTAATTTTGGAAGCTCAAAATTCGAATTTGAGGTAAGATTAGTATTCTGACTGCATATTATCTTTCCTTTGAAATATTTAAGTTTAATCATGCATAGGTTGCAGCTTTCAGACCATTATCATATGTGCAAACTGTTACTGTATCCCTTTTAATGTTTTCACACACATTTATTGCAATATTAGCAGGTTCCAAAAATAGCTGAGCATTGTGGTTGCTTCCATTTGTCTGATTTCCCCAAATGTTTTTCCTCTTTACAAGAACGCTCATAAGAGAACATAACTCCACCCTAGTCAGTATTTGTGTTTTTTCTTTCTCTGGATGGATTTTTCTTGCGTCCTGAACAACCTTTCTGCAGTTCAAGAGTTTTGTCTGGTGTTCTTCAACACCAGGTTTATGGGGAATCCAAGACCTCCCCTAGGAGAGACCATTTTTTTCTCTTCTGCCGCCCTCTCCCTGATTGTCGGCGCAGTGGCATCATTTCTGGTCATTGCCAGGGGAAGGCATTGGGTCTTGAGTTCCGGCCCATCTAACGCATTGAGAAGAGGTTGGGACTTCCAGTGATGCCACTTTTTGTCCTGGCACGTGGGGTGTGCAGCTACTGGGCAGAAAGAAAAGGTTCTTTAAAATCATGCTTCCTTAGGAATATTCTCTGCACACTCTGCAAATTTGAATCCAGAGAGGAGGCAGCGGTGGTCACAGCAGCCACCAGCACCACTGGCTCAGCTCAGGTAATGGGACAGCTTCAGGTCTCTCTCTGCCTACCTGACTTGGGGAGGTGGGGGATGTTGGGGTATTTTCTTCTCCCCCCACTCTTTTTTTTTTTTTTTTTT